CTCGAGCAACAAACACGTCCGGTTTTTACCGGTTAAACATTTGATGTTTGTGTGGTGTCGTCTTGTTTCCAGGGCAGGAGCCAGGTTCTTCACGTCTCTGGAGAAAGTGACTCCTCTGCTCCGGCGAAAGTGACTCCTCTGCTCCAGCAGCTTCTTCTTCTCTGCTCCTGTAATGGAAACACTGGGAACGCCGGCGTCTTGACGGCGCGCAGCGGCGGTGACTCGCAGTTCTCCTGTGGACACGAGCCGGGCGCCTCCTCTGACCCAGCGCCATGCTAAAGCAACACGTGCACGACGCCACGGAGCACACGCCAGTGGGAAAGCTTTGGAAAAAGTTGGTGGAGAATATACGGTTTCAGCACTGATGTCGGATCTTTTTTTATTTTTTATTTTTAAATTTTGACCTAGATATTGTGTGACGCCGCTCTGAGGAGAAGCTCTTTACTTCAGAGCTGCTTCTCTGGATTTTTATCGTTTTTAATTTTGCAGCAGAACCGAATGCTTTAAGACTCAGATCATGGATGTTGTTGACGTTTCCTGGAGACATGTGGAGTGAAACGAGGGGAGCCCCCTGAAGAGGAGGAGTGAAACGAGGGGAGCCCCCCTGAAGAGGAGGAACCAGCGGCGTTCGTTCAAAATGGCCCAAACCAGTTTGCTGCAAGGGAAGCGCTTTTACTGCCGGGAGTGGGTCTTCCATAAGATCCAGCACTGTCTTCAGGAGAAGACCAACAGCCTGAGCGGGGCGGGCGGCGCTCCCGGCCAGCCGGCCCCGCCCCCGCCGCCCGTCCCCGGCGCGCCCCCCGCGGGGTCCGTGAAGTCCGGCGGCTCGTGGGGCGTGCTGCTGGTGGGCGGGCCGGGCAGCGGGAAGACGGCGCTGTGCAGCGAGCTGCTGTGGCCCACCTCGGCCCAGAGGAYGCAGCGCGGCCTGCACCAGCAGAGCCTGGCCTTCCACTTCTGCCGGGCCGAMGACTCGGACACGCTCTGCGTCGGAGGCTTCATCCGCGGCCTGGTGGCCCAGATCCGCCGCGGAGGCCTGGTGCCCGGGTACGAAGACAAGGTGAACAACGCAGCCGTGCAGAGCAGCCTGCAGCCCGGAGAGTGTGAGAGGAACCCCACCGAGGCCTTCAAGAAGTAAGAACTTAAGTTTCTGTTAAAGGATCCANGTTTTTTCCCCACAGAGCTCTCAGTTTGATCAGAACAGATTTTTACTCCCCTCCCCCGATTCTCAACTTTAATCTGAAAATTATGACACTTTTCCCCAAAATTCTGACTCTTTTTTTCCCAGAATTATGAGKTTTTTTTCCATCGGAGTTCTCTCTTCAGTCTCAGAAGTCAATATTATAGGAATAAAAGCAGAAATCTGAGAAAATAAATGTTCGACGTCATGATTGTAATATTTTATTCCTGTGGCACTAATGGGTCTCTACATTAGTGGCCAGGCTGTAATACAAAATAAAGGCTTAAATGAGCTAAAAACTTCAAGTCCCAGAAGGCTTTGCGGCGGTTGGCTCGCGCTCCGCTCCGCAGTCGGGGGAGGGAGGAGGAAACGATTTATGTGGAGAGCCTCGGAGGCGGATAGAGTCAGTAGACTCGCGGTGGAGCTGYGTCGGTCGGGCAGCAGGAGGAGCCGCTGCCGCTCCCCCCCCCATACATCCATCCGTTACCCACCCACACATCCACCCCCAGACAACCGAAGGACGGGCAGCTCGCTCCGAAACGACCAGAACCGGGTCTTTATTCGGGGGGTTAGCGCAGCGAGGCGCGGTGGAACTCGGAAGGTTTTGGTTTTTAACGGAAAAGAAGCGACCGCGGACAAAGCGATACAACAACCCCCCTCCTCGACCCGAAACCACACAGAACCCACGGAAAGAGGTGAGAGCAGAACCGGTTCTGTTTGTTCCTAACAGTCGGTGTGGAATAAAGCAGTGAAACGATCCACAAATGGTTGATCGGAAGTTAAAGGGACAGATGTGGCTGAAGCTATGAGCTGAAGCTAATGTTGTTAGCTGGATCTGCTGGGKTTTTTTTAGCTGCTAAAATAATTTCCTGTCCTGTGAGAAACTGGGTGAGGTTTTTCTGTCCTCACCAAGTCAGTTCGTGTCTGTTCGCGTTGAACCGATCAAATCTGCAGATTTTATTTTTATATTTCAGAGACAAACAGGAACAGAGTGGTGGAAATGTTGCTTTCTGTGTGGAAAACCTGGGTCTTTAGCAGCCTTAAAAACAAMAACAAAACAGAGCTTTTGTCTGATAAATGTTTTATTTTCACACTGGAGCTGAGCTGCTCAGTGAAAAATAAATAAAAATGCGGTTTAGCAGGAAAATCAAAGCTGTAATACTCTGTAAAGGTCAACTGTCAGCTTTTACATGCAAAATATAAAATCAAACATTAAAAACTCTGGTTAGTCTGAGCTTTATTAAACAGTACAGTTTGTTTACATTCATCCTGAAATGCAGGTGTGCAGTCATTGTAAACAAAACACTTCTGAATCTGGTGAAATCTGCACGATAGTGGGAAAAAAACAGATTGTAATTGTTTTATAACCCATGTTTTTTGTCTGTATGAGATTTTTACAATAACAATAATAA